CTGGTCAAAGATCCCCATGGTCCAGGCTGTGGGTGGAAGGGGTACCCTCAGCCGCAGGGGGCCGCAGCGTCTCAGGGATCAGCTTTCACAGATGCAGGCAAGAGAACAAAGGGCAGGCTTCATCTCCCTGCACCCCACAGGCCCCTGGCCAAGGAAGGGGGGCTCCATTCCAATGCCCGTCACATGGCCTCTGTGGCATAAAGGCCTTTTAATAATTCTGATTTTGAATATCAAATTGAAATGAAAAGTGCACTTAGGAAGGAGAGGCTCCGTCCACGCTGAAAAGCATGTTCTATGCAAACAGGTTGGGCAAGCACTGGGCTCTTGCCTGCCTGTGGTTCTCAATTTGGCTGCACGTTGCATCACTGCTCTCAAACGTACTGATGCCTGGCTCCACACCTCCCCCCGCCCCAAGAGAGTATGATTAATGGACCTAGTGCGTGGCCTGGGCATCCGGACTTTTTACAGCTCTCCAGGTGATTTTTTTTTTTTTTTTAAGATTTTATTTATTTCACAGGGAGAGAGAGATCACAAGTGGGCAGAGAGGCGGGGGGCGGGGGTGTGCAGCAGGCTCTCTGCTGAGCAGAGAACGATGTGGGGCTCGATCCCAGGACCCTGGGATCATGACCTGAGCTGAAGGCAGAGGCTTAACCCACTGAGCCACCCAGGCACCCCACTCTCCAGGTGATTCTAACGTGCAAACTTGAGAACAGCTGCTGAGGGATTTAATGTGGGATTCAAGGCCTCTCATAATGGAGTCCCGGCCAAACCTTTTGACCTTTTCCTTCCTTCACCCCCATCTCACCCTGTTCATGAGGCAGAGACCTTTTCATTGTGCCCTGAATGTACTTGGCTTGTGCGTATTTCCATACTTTCAGGCACACATATTGTCTCACTTTGGGCACCCAAAAAAGCCCAGCTCAAACGTCCTCCTCTGTGCAACTGTCCCTAATTGTCACCCACCTTCACCACCTTTCCCTTCAGTCACAGGACACTTTGTGCCTCGCTTTCTTAGAGCATTTCTCACATTACGTTAAAGACATCGGCTTATAGGCCCGGCTCCTCTCCCTCGCCAACAAAATGTGGCCTGAGGTTTCAGCAATCAGCACAGGGATCAGCAGGGCAAAGGTTTCTGTGAGTGCTCACTGAATAAGTAAATTAATGGATGAGTGGAAGCACGCGTGCCAGTCTTGCACATAATTGATATCCTATCACATCGAACCCAATGCTCAAACCAGGGTCACCTGGGAGACTGAGTCAGTAATGTGAGGGTGGCAGATCTACATCTTTGTTTATCAAAGTGGGCTTCCTCGACCAGTAGCAGCTACATTATCTGAGAACTTGTTACAAATGCAGAATTTGCATTTTAATAAGATCCCAGGGTACTTCATATGCATAGTACAGTCTGAACTGTAATTTTAAACAAGCTTCCGGCTGATTCCCATGTAACCAGTAGGCTGAGAGGCAACTGAGACCCACTGCTCTAGACTTCCATTTACTGTGTCTCATAGACCTTGTGTGATTGCCTAATGGCTCCTTCTGTTATCCCTTTTCCCTACACAACAAGGCCTTGATTTTGTTCAGGATCAGCACTTTGCCCACCAAACCGGTCCCTCGAGGAAGCTTGACCCCACCTCCAGCCCGAGATCTAGGCCTGATTGGTCAAAGGGACATCCCATTCCGCCCCGCCCCCAGCAGGGGTTCGTTCAGGAATGGACATGTGGCCAAATTCAGGTTAATCAAATACGAGCGTAAGTATGTTGGGGGGCAGTCTAGAAAAAGTTTTCTCTTTCCGAAGAGAAAGCCACAAGGCAGAGAAACAAATCTCTCCTTTTCGAGATGTTGTTCTGCCTCAATGTTATGCCTTGGAACTACAGCTGCCATCTGCTACCTGACCGATGAAGAAAGCCAACACTGAGGGATCAGAGCGGAGATGGGAAGGACCTGGGTCTTAGGACATCATTGAGCTCTTCTGTCTCTGGACTTCTTGTTACGGAAGTTTGTTTGTTTCTTAGTTTGTTTATTACTGTTAAAGCGATTTCTGTTCTTTGCAACAGAAAGTTGTCATCGATATACTGAACATCTTACTATATTCAGTCAACCAATATTTGAGTGCCTACTGTGAGGCTAAGTACAATATGTGCTAAGTACATTACAAGTACTATCCTAACGCTCAAGCAATCTGTAAGTCAAGTATCGATATTCCGATTTTACAGATGAGGAAATGGAAACTTGAAGCAACCCAATGCCCAGTTAAGTCAAATATCTAGTAAGTGGTAAAGTCAGAATTTGAACCTGGGTTTGACTCGAGAGCATATGTTCTATCCACTCTACCATACTTTCTAGTTTGAATGGCTTTATTACATGAAATTTCAGGATATCATCAGTTCTCAACTTTTTAGACTCAGGACCCTTTTACGTTCTTAAAAATGATAGAGGATCATAAAGTGTTTTTATGTATTTAGGTGATACCTATTGCTATTTAACACATTAAAAATTAAAACTGAAAAACTTAAGGTGTTTAATTAATTTAAAAATAACATTGATTAGCCCATTTCATGCTAACATAATATATTTTCATGAAAAATAACTGTATTTTCCCAAACAAAACAAAGTAGTGAGAAGAATGACATTGCTTTACATTTTTGCAAATCTCTTTAACATCTGGCTTAATAGAAGACAGCTGGATTCTCTCTGCTTCTGCATTTAATCTGTTGTGATGTGTTGTTTTGGTTGAAGTATACAAAGAAAATCTGACTTCACACAGATCTATCATTGGAAAAGAGGGGGCTATCTTATAAGCCTTTTCAGAAAATTGTGCATATTCTTTGACACTATACCAAAACTGCACAAGTGGTAGTTTTTTTTTTTTTTTTAAGATTTTATTTATTTATTTGACAGACAGAGATCACAGATAGGCAGAGAGGCAGGCAGAGAGAGAGAGAGAGGAGGAAGCAGGCTCCCTGCAGAGCAGAGAGCCTGATGTGGGGCTCGATCCCAGGATGCTGGGATCACAACCTGAGCCGAAGGCAGAGGCTTTAACCCACTGAGCCACCCAGGCACCCGACAAGTGGTAGTTTTTTAAAAGTTAGTTGCAATGTGGAACCTGAACCCAAATGAATAAAAGTTTCATCTCGGTTGCATTAGAATCCATGGGTCTGCTTATACTTTGAAGTGACCTTTACCCATGCATAATTTAGTCACATCAGGTATTGGTCATTTAGAAAATGTTGATTCATTGACTTATGCAAACCCTCCCAATGCTGAGATGTTACTCATACAGTATCACAAATTGCATTTGTCAATATCACCATCAGTGTCATCAGTGAAGTCTTTACTGGCAAAGCTGTGAAGCTCAGGATAGTTGATACAAATTTTCCAAAGTTTTAATTTTTATTTAAAGTCTTAATTTCTACAACTGGCAACAAATAATGTCAGTTATTTTCTTTGAAGTGGTGGGCTCACTTGCCAACTTTTGAGAAAATGTCTGCCAAATATCCAACCCAAAATAACTGTCATGTGTCTCTCGGCCCTTCTTTCAGGTAGAAGCAGTGCTCCACAAAAGCGGCCAGTTTAGTTGGTAACTCAAATAATGGCACGAGTGCTTTCTCTCGGGACAAACATGGTACTTTGGAATACAGCAGATTTTTTCAACGTGTCTTTCCCATTTGGGGACATAGACCGTTAAAAAGACTGGTACCTAGAGGTCGAGACTTAATAAAATGAGTATTTTCTATGGTCCCTCAAGGACATTCTTAAAGGAAATGAGCAGGGGTGTCTTTGGACTGCAGGGATGAGGCAGTGAAGAATGCAGTGCCTACTGGGATGGTTTGGTGCCATTGGCTTGATTTGCACTAAGACACTGGTGCTCCCTCCCCATCCTCCACCATCACTTCTTGGTCATCAATGCAAATGCCAGTAAGATGAAAAGAACCAAAGAGTGTCTTAATATTATCATGAAAATGGCTTTAACTCCTGGGCCACCTGCAATAGGGCTGGGCTTCCCAAGGCTCTGCAGCCTACCCTCAGAGAACTGCTACTCTAGGTGGTCTGGTGACCAATGACGCCTCCTAGGAGAAACCACGGAGACGAAATGATTGTTGCCAAGCCCTGGAAGACACGGAGTTCTGTGCCACACCATGGTCTGGCCTCTCCTCTGAGTCAACGTGACTTTTGCCTCAGGCACTGCTGTCACAGGCAGGGCTTTATAGAGGAGCCTTCGGAGTGTCCTGGAGCTGGGGTGCTTGTGAAGCCTGGGGCCAGGGGACACAGGAAATTGGCTCCCCCAGTCCACATGCTTTCAGTTACAGACACACACAGTGCAGATCCACAACTACCTGTTGCCCTATGTAGCCCGTTAGGCAATTTAACTTGTACTTGGCTTAGACATGCACTATTTAATGTGATCTGATTTCTACTTATACTTCTTAAAATACTCCACATGAAGTTTTCAAAGCCTTTTCCCTGGTATAAAATTTCTTGGGTGCTGAAGAACTATTAAATAACGAAGGTTTTGTGTCCTTCTGGGGAGGCATCAAGACCCCTTCTCTCGATGGAAGGAGGAAGCAGCCTCCTTCCTCTGTAGCTTGCCAGAACAGGCGCGTTGGCAACACGAAGCACAACTCTGGGGGTGTCTCACTGAGCCAGTCCCTGTTTCCAGGAAAGAAAACCCATGTCCTTGAGCCAGAACAAAATCTCTAAGGGTTGGGGTTTTTCTTTCTCCTGCTAGAGAGGGAAGAATGACAATGGTTTGCTTGAATCCCTACAGTGGGAAAAGCCATCCAGAAATTCCAGCCTGCCAGACCGCTCCGTGCCAGAGATGCTGTTCCTCCACTCATGAATACACAGAGGAATTCTCCCTGGTACCATCTGAAGGGTTAAAAAAGGATCCTGTGATTAGCCGTGATGCTGGGGCTAACTAAAACTGGGGAAAAGGCCAGTCATGCTGCTGGCCTGCTGTAGTGGCTGAACACACTTCTTAAAGCGCAGAAGCAAGACCTCCCAAAAGACTGACCTGAATTTGTCCCGCGAATGGTAGTTTCTGTCTTGTTGCTGCACTGCTGTGGAAAAAAAAAAAAAAAAAAAAAAGTCACGATCAGAACATGGCAGGGAAGGAAGTTCCCAGATCCTCAGAGGAATGGCTCTGAGTGTGAGCAAGTTTTTCCTAATATGTGACCTAAGATGTTCTTTCCTTCAGGACCACACAGGCTTTTTTTTTTTTTTTTTTCTTTCCTAAACACAAAACACAACTGCATCGTACATTCCTCCCCTCACTTCTGTGCTGGGAGCACAAGAGTTGTAATGATCTCCTGGGTCTGGGTCTCTAAACCTTCCATTGAATTTCTCTAACCTAATGCTCCAGGACTAGCAAGGGAGGGAGGAGGAAGCAGGAGCTGTAAACCTCCATGTTCAGGGCACTAAGTTCCCAGATCTGGATCGGATTAGTCTGATCTGTGTGCCTGCCACTCCTGGCCTCTATATGCTTTCAGGTTTGCACACGAACAGGGCTCTCTGTGACCTGCCTTGGACCTCCCGTTCCCCCACTGTCCCTTCCCTTTTTACCTTGAGCTTTTGCTTGGTACTTTAGCTCTTATTATTATGGTGGCAGAATGCTTTCCCTCCCCTGCCCCACCCCAAGCACAGTTGTGGTACATTATTTCTGTGCTGTATTTAGAGGAATAATGGAGTAATAATTTGGGGGAATGTATATTCTAGTTCTGTCACTAAATAGTCATCAATGTGGGAAAAGTCACACATCTGTTCCGGGCTTCCCCTGATAGGGGATTGGGAGAGGTTTACCCTCGCAGTGGTTCATAAGCCTGGAGACTAGAAATACATTTTTCTGCAGGTTCCCTTCCCTACTTCCGGCACTTCCTTCTATGGTCCTTTGACAACAGCAGTGTCTCCCCGTGCAGAGACCAGCTTTGTGGACCACTGGTCTTGACAGGTTCTAGATTATTCTCAATCCTGAAATGTGTCTTTTCCCTGTCTCTCCAGATGCAAGGGGAGGGTGCTACTAGCTTGCATTTACCTTGTCAAAGCCTCTGTGCCTTCCAGGTGGTCCACATGGTTTTAGACCACCCCCTATCCAGCTCCAGGCTGGAGTCTGGACCTTCCACAGCCTAAAAGAGAAGGGCAGTTTGGTGATTTTTAAGGTATCTCATTTATTTAAAAGAGTGAAATGTGGACTCCAAGAAGTCAGGTGGTGGCAAGCACTCCCAGCTTGGGTCAAAGGACAGCAGGTAGACGAGTCACACACATTCCTCAGATGCCATGTCCCATTAGCCACACAAAGAAACTTCTGGAAAGAAAAGATTCCTACCAGTTTCTGAGGGAGCAGATGGCCTCCAAGGCTGCCCAGGGCTGCCCCCCACACAGGCACCAGGACCCACTTAGCTTCCTACTCCTGTAGGAAGCATGACGAAGCCCCCACCCACACTGCTGGATGGAATGTTTGAGAACTTGGAGCAGTTGGGAGCACAAACATTTAATCTCTGGAGGTGTTGTTTAGTGCTGCTGTGACCAAAGCCAAAAATGCAGTTTCCTAAATCCCCTGTTCCTTTTGTAGGGCACACACTCCAGATTAAAGAAAAAGAAAAGAAATATGAAAAATAAACAAGGAGAGAGCCAGTGCACTATCCACCTCTTAGACAAGAGGGAAAATCGGGGTGGCTTTATGGAAAACAAAGACAACCAAACAGGAAAAGAATTCAAGAACACACAAAGGGTTAATCAGACACATTAAAACTCCACATAAAAGAAAATCCATTCATATGGACAAACATTGAGAAGGGGATTCTCTCTGGTAAGTAACTTAAAATGTTTACTCCAGCAGGCTACTAAGGTCTCCCATTGAAAACAGAAGCATTTAGAAATATGATTTGCCAGCAGGATAAATGCTGAAACAAAACATAAAAAGTCAAGACAAAATTCTGACCACATTTTACTTCAATATTTCCTTAAGTCACCATAAAAAAAAATCAAGATACTTCCAGTTAATATACTTATTAATCTAAGCCTTTCCAAGAGAACTTAAAATGGTAACATTGATCAAAGAGTTGGCATCAAGAACCAAAGGAAAATATCTCAGCTAGTCGGAAAGTCAACAGTGGGATAACTGCTTAAATATTTGAGGGAGCTTGATGACCAAAAATCTTAGGGTACTCGGTGACTATTTAACCTTGGAGAAATTTTCTGAAATTCCCATGCCTCAGTGTGCTCATACATAAAATGGAAGATTACTGTTTCATGGCTCTGTTGTGAGAAAATGAACCATCTAAAATGCCACCAGAATTCTAACTCAAAGGTAACCTTGAGGGCAGTGAGTGAAGCCTTCTCATCTTTAAGAACCCAGAGAATATTTTTTAGGAAAAAAGAAAGTCTTCCTGAAGTTAGCCAGACAGCAAGGAAAAAAAAATTCAGTTGAGAGGAAAAAAAAAATGGCTGACCCAGCTTTCAGCTCTACATCCTCTTTCTAGTAAAGACACAAGGCAGCCATGTTTTATATCTTTTACTAAGAATTCATTTGGAATGTTTTCCGTTTACATTATAAATAAGCTCCAGAATCCAGGGAGTCTAAAGAAACCACGTTTCCCTGATGGGATCTGTTGCTTATAGAAATCGTTCCTGTTACCTATTGCCGCAGGAACGCTTGGCCTATTTAAAGGTCGCAGGTGTGTGAGAACAGATGGTATTGAGAACAGGGACATATTCAGCCTGCGAAAAGACTGCCAACAGTCAGTTTGAGGGTGATGCTTTAAGAGCAGTGGTGTTTTTTCCTTTCTCTTACTCAGGTGTGCTCAGTGAGCAGGGTCTCTGTCAGAGCCGTGTCCTGGAGATTTAATTTGTATTTTGTTTTTTCCTTTTCTGTTCTCTAGGAGACCTGTGCCAGATACTTCAAAATATAGGCTGGCTCAGAAAACCACCTTGGAATCAATGCAGTGAGCCTCCCTGAGAATGGTAGGTATGGAGTGAGTTGTTCCTACTATTGGGGCTTTAAAAAAAGGTAAGGGAGAATGGAGAGGGAAAGAGATGGAAAAAAACGGAAGAGGAGTTGTTTCCTCCTGGACAGGGTGGGGACAGGCTTCCCTAATCTGGGACAGGATGATGGTTCAAGTCAAAGGGAGGCAAGATGAGGTTGGACCAAGTCCTGAACCATCAGTCCCGGGCCTCTGCGGGCATCTGAGCGCAAGACCTGAGCGTACAGGTCGGGAAGAACATACACAGCTTAGTGTTCGGCTGGATAACATGTGCGGGTCCCTGGCAGACTGAGTGTGATACCGACGATCACCCACACCCACAAACACCGTGAACTCACCAGCTCCGTCCTGTGTCCATGGCCATGGTCCCCACCTGCTCCCGGCCCCGCCCCCACCCACCGCCCTTTAGGGTTTGCTTCACCAGGGAAATTCAACCCCCCTGGTTCCTCAGCCCACCCTGTGTCCAGAAGTGGCATTCCGATCCCAAAGGATTAGATCACTCAAGGCTGGAACGTCCCCCACTGCCCACCTGGGAGTCCACAGAAACTAGCAAAGAGTGTAGAGCTCCGGCCGGGGCCAGTGTGCTGGGAGCCCTCTGCCTGGCCTTGCAGGGGCACAGCAGCCGCTGCTCACCACGAGGACACCGGCACAGGGGAGACATTGACTGAAAAGCCAGGGAGCTACTGCCCACAGTGCTGGGCTCTCTGTCCAGCTTCTGAGCGTCAGCCCGGACCCACTGGGGCCAGCGCTGTCTACAGTCCTTCTGCCAGCAGCTCACTCGGGACCCAGAGCAGGCCCGCGCAGCTGCATCCTTCCCACACGAGACAACCTAAAGCAGACAAAACCCAGGAAGGGGACGGTGGAATAAGAGTTTTCCTGTTACCCTGGAACTGGCATTTAGAGTCCCAGCTGAAAAGAAAAGGTGCTAAATGCCGCACATTCAAGAGAGTTATTAGAAACCAAAAGCCAGATCTGCTTCCTGCCCTGCCCCGAACTTCCCCGGGCTTTCTACGAGGCAACATCTTAGGTCCACAATCACCGACAGCCATCACCATCACCTCCCTGCTCCTTTTATGGGGGGCAAAGAGGAAGCAGAAGGAGTCATCTAGGCCAGCCACCTCGGGTAGGGATCACAGGAAGAAGTGGATCTCTCCCGGTGCCTCACCATCCATTCTTGTCCCAAGGTGAAGAAGGGGGGAGGGGCCACCAGGAGGGGGGCATCTGACGCGCCAGGTAGACATCTGCTTAGGCTGTGGACTTGCAGATCTCCCCCTCGCCTACCTGAGTGGGAGATGGTGGCAGGGCTGGGGGGCCGTACCCAGAAAGATAGCTGGTCTTGAGCTGTCTTGCCAGGATTCTCCCGGAGGGCTGCCCCCTGGCAAAGGAAACCAACAGCAAGAACTGGGAGGGAGCAGAAGAGGCCTCACCAAGCTGGCTCGTCCACATCAGAGGAACAGTGTGTCCCTTCTTCCCTGTCCCTTCCTACCCCAGCAGCCTGGAGGGTCTTAAAACTCAGCAAGAGAAGGAGCCTGATAGAGAATTCTGAATTCAGTGCATGAATGAGGTTTTTAACTGGACTGCAAGTGACAAGAGAGTAATGGAATGTGCCCAAGGTGTGCTAAGGGAGAAGCTTTTCATTTTTCATTTGCTGGTTTGTTTTGTTTGGCTAGGAACAAATCAAATTTGCAGGTAGTGATTAGAAAAATGAAAACCGTTTCATGTTTGACCCTGCTGAGTTGAGACTGTTCAGTGAACGACTATGGAATCATAAGCAGTGAGAAGCCTATGGAAGCTTGGACTAGAGAAGCTTCCAGATCCTCTCCCACCCTAAGATGCCAGATTTCCTTGTAGCAGAGTATCCATCGGAAAGAGGACCACGCCTGTTGCCAAGATTCAGTTGAGTGTGGGCACGTCTGGAAGGAAGACGGTGCGATTAGTCAATCCTGGGTTCCTGTCTGAGTCCTGAGGGGAGGGTGGGAGGAGGCACTGAAAGTCAAACTTCCACTCAAATTGGGTAAGATACTGGAGCTAAAGCCTTGCTCTACAGTTGTCTTTATCTCAGGGCAACCTCTGGGCTCAAGATGAAAAGTTTTTTGCTTGGCAACCATTGCTTCCAAAGCTATGCTGTCCAATACAGAAGTCACTAGTCATCTGTGATGCTTTAAATACAATTAAAACTTCAATTCTTATATCACACGAGTCACATTTCAAGTGCTAAGTAATCCTAGGCTTCTGTGGCTTCTGTGTTGAAGTGAAGATATAGCTTTGTAGCAGAAAATTCTATTAGGTTGCTCTGCTTCAGAGAAAAAGCTGTTTGTTCCAATGATGGCAGAGAAAATGGCCAAGCTAGACTTCCAGGCTATCACCTGGTATGGTCAAAATGACAAATTCCAAACTTCATGGGCAAGTTAAAGGTTGAAGTGACATCATAGCAAGAGGACAGGAAGCAGTCCTAGGATTATAGAGGACATGGTGAGCCCCGAGCTCATACATGCCCCTGATGCCTGAGTTCTGCATTAGGAATTTGAGGGAGGCCTTTGTTCCCAGCGACAGCCTGGCATAGACACTGGTCCCCAGGGAGGTGATGGTGGTACTCAAGGGGCAGTGAGAGCACCTGGTTGCAGGAGTTCCACTATGCCAATTACTTCCCTCTGGGAACTCTCAAAAACTGCGTAGGATTTGAAGGACAAGAGCCTGGAACATATGCGTTATAGTATTTTGTTTTCGTCTCTGGGAGAGGAGTAGTGTGAGGCCTACTCACTACTAATTCCTCCAAAACTTACAGGCTTCAGACAACAATAGCTATTTATTATCCCTTACAGTTTCTCACAGTGGGTTAGGAATTTGGGGCCAAATTGATAGGGTGTCTCTAGCTTAGGGTCTCTCGTGGGGTTGCAGTCCAGATACCAGTGGAGGCCTGGGGGGTGGGGGTGATCATTCAAAGGCGTATCTGGGGCTGGGGCCCACTTCCAAGGTAGTTCACTCACACACCTGTCTTATTGGTGTCGGCTATTCATGGGAGGCCTGAGTGCTCTCAACGCGGACTTCACATGGGCTTCCTGAGTGGCCTCACAACATGGTGGCTGGCTCGCCCCCGAATGAGAGATTCAAGGCTTTGAAGTCACACAGACTTGTACTTCTGC